CTGCCACCTCTCCCGGCACCGTGCCCGGGTCTGGGGGTTCGCAGCAAACCCGCCCCCCCAAAACAGCCCTCCCCGCTGGCTGTTTTCCCCCAGAGCATGCGGCACAGTTGCGGTATTTTGGTTTTCTTCCTTCTTTTTCTCGACTTTCTCCTCCAGTCGCGTCCCTCCTTCCCCGCAGCGCCGCCCGGGGTTTGCAGAGCCGAAGGAAATTCAAGTGGGGTTTTAAGGATCCTCCTGGATTCTCCGTGGCATCACAAATCCCTTCCCCAGGTGTTGGCTCCTGGATGCTGCCCGTCAGTTTCCACATCCCCTCTTTATTTTATCCAAATTATTTTCTCACAGCAGAGACCCCACCACAACAAAAAGCAACAAAACATCTTAGCAAGAAACTTCTAGGAAATATCCTTGGGAATATCCTTTTGACGTCTAGGAAATATCCTAGGGAATATCCTTTTACTTCTAGGAAATAGGAAATGCGCTTTTTTGCCTTGGACGTCTCAGCATGTGAGTGTCGTTCAGAAATTGTGACAAAAGCGGTGGCTCTGGTACAAAAGCCAGGGGGTGACACTGAAAGCCCTTCAATAAATATCCCTTTATTGCCCTTCACTGTGTCTGGCCCGTCTTGCAGCCGTTCCAGGCACTGCGGGGATGGGGCGGAGATCCCGGAGCCCAGAGGGGCTGGGACCCCGTGGGGGCTGCGGGGTTGGGAGCGTTGTAGGGCCAGGTGAGAGATGAGAATTTGACTCCGTGTTCTGAGAAGGCTGATTTATTATTATATTAATTATAATTGTATCGATACTATTATATATTATATTATGACATTATATGGTATAATATTAATTACAATTATATAGATAATATTATATATTATAATTACTATATTATTATAATTAATATATTATTTATTATAATATATTAATGATAATAATATATCATTATATATTATATTATTATAATGCAATATCATATTAATATAATTTATTATAATTGTACAGTATACTACATTATAGTATATTATATTATATATTATTATATGAAGTATATTTATTACATAATATTATAATATATTATTACATCATATGACATTATATGACATAATTATAGATATATTATATATTATATTAATATATAATATTATAATAAATGTTATAACATTAATTATAACTATATATCATTATATATCATATTATTACAATACAATATAGTATTATTATATGATGTGATATCATATCATATTAGAAATTATTATATTAATTATATGAGTTGTTATATTATGACATTATATGTCATTATAATAATATAGATATTATTATATATTATATTAATATAATAATAGTAATTATATTATAACTACATAATAATTATAACAACTATTATGATATTATTATATTATATTATATTATATTATATTATATTATATTATATTATATTATATTATATTATATTATATTACTAAAGAAAGAGAAAGGAGACATCGAAAGGCCAAACAAGAATGAATAATAAAACCCTGCGACTGACCAGAGTCCTCATACAGCTGGACTGAGATTGGTCAATAAATTAAAACAATTCACATGCTGAGTAAACAATTCTCCAAATCACATTCCAAAGCAGCAAAACAAGAAGAAGCTGAAGCTTCCCAAGAGAAGAAATCCTAGCAAAGGCATTTTTCATAAAATATCCCAGTGGCATGGGGCTCCCTGTCCCGGGCACAGCCTGGCACCAGCTCAGTACCTGCGGGGTCACCTTGTCCTGTTTGCATCCTGGGGTCAGAGATAAGGGGGGGTCACCCACGTCAGCAGCCACAGGGGCCCCCTCGTGCCAGCCTGGGGGGCTCTGGCAAACAGGAGTGTCCTACAAACAGGGGTGTCCTGCACACAGGAGAGTCCTGCACACAGGGGTTTGAATAAAGCATGGCCACTCCACTGAAATCTGATCAGACCAACAACAGACCCCCACCATTCACCGTCCCCTCATCCCCCAGTAACCCCAACACACCCCTATGGCAAACCCCACCCTCACAACCAGCCCCATCCCAAGGCCATAACCAACAACACCCCAGCTGGCCCAGGTTCTGGGTAAGGATCCGCCACCAACAACACTGAATAAACAAACACTACCAACATCCCCCCTAAATAAACCATAACAAGCACCAAAGACACAAAGGAAACCCCCAAACTCACCAGCCAACCACACCCTGCAAGTGCTGCTACAACCAGCCCCAGCACCCCGTAACAAGGGGAGGGGTTAGATGAACTGCCAACCCCCCTAAAAATAAAACAAATTCTATCATAAATTCCTACTCGGTCTCTCTCTGAGATCTATGGCCTGCAAACAGGAGAGTCCTGCACACAGAGTCCCTCTGCTCTCTGCAATGGCCTTGGGTGCCATTGAAAAGCCCAAACGGTGCCTCCAGCTCTGGGGTTTGCAGCATCATTGATGGCATGGAGATGCTGGAGCAATTCCAGAAGAGGCCATGGGGATAATCCCAAGGTTGGAGCTCTCTGCTCTGCAGCCAGGCTGGGAGAGCTGGGGTGCTCACCTGGGGAGGAGAACTCACAGAACTCACAGAATGACCAGGTTGGAAGAGACCTTAAAAATCATCGAGTCCAACTCAGCCCCAGTGTGGTGGTGTTCAGTGGGGTCCCAGGATGAGGGAAGAGATGAGGCTGATTTATTATTTTATGACATACATATATTGTATTAAAACTATACTAAAATAATTGAAGAAAGGATTTCATCAGAAGCAAGAAGAAGAATGATAACAAAATCTTGTGTCTGACTGAGAGTCCAAAACAGCCAGACTGTGATTGGCCATTAATTAGAAACAACCACATGAGACCAATCACAGATGCACCTGTTGCACTCCACAGCAGCAGATAATCATTATTTACATTTTGTTCCTGAGGCCTCTCAGCTCCTCAGGAGAAAAAACCCTAAAGAAAGGATTTTTCATAAAACATATCTGTGACACTCCAACACCTCAATTAAACCCTGGCACACAGTGCCACATCCAGAGAAGGCTCCAGGGAGAGCTCAGAGCCCCTTCCAGAGCTAGAGGGGATCCAGGAGAGCTGGAGAGGGACTGAGGACAAGGGATAGAGGGACAGGACACAGGGAATGGCTGCCCACTGGCAGAGAGCAGGGATGGATGTGATTTTTGGGAAGGAATCCTGCCCTGTGAGAGTGGGGAGGGGCTGGGATGGAATTCCCAGAGAAGCTGTGGCTGCCCCTGGATCCCTGGCAGTGCCCAAGGCCAGGCTGGATGGGGCATGGAGCAGCCTGGAACAGTGAAGGTGTCCCTGCCATGGCAGGGTTTGGGACTGGATGAGCTTTGAAGTCCCTTCCAACACCAATTACCCTGGATTTCTGGATCCATATCCACAGCCAGGCAGTGCCTTTTCTAGATGAAGGCTTTGGGGTCTCAAGGATGGAAAGTTTGGATTTGGGATCTGGAGGGGAGAATGGGGTCCCAGGAGAGGACCCTGGGTGGCATTAGGGGACAATTCCACCCTGCCAGGTGACGTGTGGCTCGTGTGTGCTGTGTCCTTCAGGCCCTGGCTGTCACCTGCCTTGGCTGGGTGCCCAAAGGAGGGGAGGGGGCAGCTCCTGCTGGTCCTGGCTGCTCTTGGCACGGCACGGGGGGTGGGCAGGGGATTTATGGGCTTTATAAACCTGAGGGAACTGGCCCTGGCTGTCCTGGCAGGATGTGGTTCCTCGTGCTCCTCTGTGCTGCCTCTGCCCTGTGCCAGGGTGTCACAAGGTGAGCCACAGCAGCATCACTGCCAGGGACACTGGGAAAGGGGAGGGGGAAATGGGAATCTGGAGGCTTTTCATGGGAAAAGTGAGGGGGAAATGAGAATTTGGAGGCCTTTCATGGCTTTGGGGAGCAGAGGTGAGGTCTGAGGCTGCAGAAAGCTGCTCCAGGGGTGCTGAGAATGAGGGTGTGCCTGGGGAGGGGCTGGTTTCTAGGGCTGTTCTGGGATTTTAGAGGAAATTCCAGATTCAGAGTTTTGGGGCAATTTCCTGTGCTCCTGCTGTTGGATCAGAGCACTGGAGGTGTAAAACACTGGAGCTGCAGGCAGCAAAATCCCATCTCACTCATCTTTTTCCCTCATTGCTTGTGCCAGGCTGCCCTTGGAGAGGGGGAAGAAGCTGAGAGAAGTCCTCAGGGAGAAGGATTTGCTGCAGCAGTTCTTCCAGCAGCACCACTACGACATCGGCGCCAAATTCCCGCACGCTTTCCCCAACGGAACTGGGGTGGCCACCGAGCCCCTGCTGAACGCCCTGGACGTGAGTATGGGCTCCAATCCCCTGGAACACAGCCCTGGCAGGGCCTGTGGGATGTCCATCCCTCTGTCCAAACCCAAATCCTTCAGGTCACATCCTTCACCCCTCCTTGCCCACACTGAACAGAGAAATATCCCCCAGGAGCTCTGCTGGAAGCAGGGGTGTCACAGACATCTTTTATGGAAAATCCTTTCCTTAGGATTTTTCCTCCTGAGAAGCTGAGAGGCCTCAGAAACAAAATATAAACAATGATTATCTGCTGCTGTGGAATGCAACAGGTGCATCTGTGATTGATCTCATGTGGTTGTTTCTAATTAATGGCCAATCACAGCCCAGCTGGCTCAGACTCTCTGTCCGAGCCACAAATCTTTGTTATCATTCTTTCTTATTCTATTCTTAGCTAGCCTGTGATGAAATTATTTCTTCGATTCTTTTAGTATAGTTTTAATGTAATATATATCATAAGATAATAAATCAAGCCTTCTGAAACATGGAGTCAAATCCTCATCTCTTCCCTCATCCTGGGACCCCTGTGAATGCCGTCACACAGGGGGTCTCCATGAAGCAGGGGACAAAGCCTGGGGAAGGTCCAGGTTTGGGTTCATGCCTCCAAATCCATCTCTGGTCTGCAGGTGGAATATTATGGGACCATCTCCATTGGCACCCCCCCACAGGACTTCAGCGTGGTCTTCGACACCGGCTCCTCCGACCTCTGGGTGCCCTCTGTGTCCTGCCCCAGCCTGGCCTGCCGTGAGTAGGGCCCAGCTGCATGCTCTGGGTTTGGAATGGCTCCACCAAGCCCAAAAATTGGGGTGACATTGCCAGGGGAGGGAGATTCACCCAGCTGGGCCATGGCAGCTGTGAGTGATGTTTGGGGTGTAGGGGTTGCTCAGGGCTCCTCAGGTGATGTGACTTCTTGGTGCCTCAGTTTCCCCATCTGCCCAAGGTGGGTGGGAATGCCTGTGGTTGCTGGAGGAGGGGAAGGAAATGCTCACAGCTGAATTATTCCTGAAGGCAAGATAATGTACAGCAATTCAGGGCTCCTTCTCCCACACGTCCCTTTGGCTTGGCCTTGCTTGAAGGTTTAATTCTGTGTTTTTCCACTTATAGAAACCCACCAGATGTTTGACCCCTCTCAGTCCTCCACCTACAAGAGCACAGGGTTGAGTCTGTCCATCCACTACGGCACAGGAGAGATGGAGGGGACCGTGGGCTCAGACACCGTCACCGTGAGTGTCCCCATGGCACGGCTGGGGAACATCCATGGGGAACATTCATGGGGAACATCCCACATCCCACCTGTAGGAGCAATGGGGGTAGGACGGTCTGTTGGGGAAGATGAAACAGGAAAGCCTTATAAATATGATTGCCTGGCAAAAGATTTGAGAATATGGAAACTATAAGCAAGATTGAAATGAAAGCAAGCTTTGAGATACCTCAGTTACTGAACAACTGGAAAGCAATGGCATGGCCAGCTGAAGGTGATCCCCTTTTGATGGAACAACACCCTCTGCTTGCAGACAGGGTCAGAGCAGACCCTGCCAACTTGGCAGAAGGGGCCCAAAGAGGAGTTTTTAGCGTTTAAAATGTAACACAGTGTGGTAATGTAATGATTCTTATAGGCTGTATGTAAATGCTATAGGATTTGTATCTTGGACTAGATTGTTTAGTGAGAATTAGAATTTTCAGCACAGAAGAAGATTTATGGTATTGTAACGGGAACTCCACTCTTTTTACTCTTCCTTGTTCTCTCTCATCCTCTTTACCACGCTCTTGCCTTCTCTCTCTTTACCTCTCTCTCCCTCTTTGGGGCTACTCTGAGCTGTGGCTGGCAGCTCCCAGCAGACCCCAATTTCCATGACCTGGCTGCTGAGATCTCTCCTCTCCATCCGTCCCCACTGTTGTAGGAGCGTCGTGGGTGGGACAGTCAGGATGGATGGACATGAGAGATCTCTGCAGCCAGGGCTGGGAACTTGTGGGTTATTGCAAAGGGCCTGGGTGCAGGGCTCTGCTGGGAGCTGCCAGCCACAGCTGGAGCAGGACTGAGAGAAGAGAGGGGTAGAGAGGATGAGAGGGTGAGAGAGCAAAGTTCCCGTTACAATACCATAAATCTGCTGAATATTCTGATTCTCACTAACCAATCTAGTACAAGATACAAATCCTATAGCATTTCCATACAGCCTATAAGAATCAGTACATTACCATACTGTGTCAAAATCAAACCCCCAGGTGCTCTGGGCTGTGTGCCAGGGTCTCTGAGCCCCCCAGCGGGGTCCTGGCAGCTCTGGACACCCGGAGGGACGCACTGAGCTCTGACAGCTGAAGAGAGTCAGTCTGTGTGTTACTCACTCACCTGCAGTGGTGTCTGCAGGAGCCTTTTCAGATGCAGAAGGTGCTGGGGCTGCTCCTGCTGGGGCTGGGGGTGCTGCGAGGGAGGGAGGCTGAGACAGGAATCCCTGAGCTGCCTGCTCGCTGTCATCCCTGTGACAAGGAGGAAATTCCCATCTGGGCACCTTGTATGTCTCTCCTCTGTCAAACCTCAGTGAGAATTTCAGCCTTAGAAGAGTTGGTTTTTTGTATATTTAACAAAAGAGATTATTTCTGTTCCACTGGAGTGACTGGGGCTGGTGTTTGGCAACTCTGGACACCCGGAGGGATGCACTGAGTTCCGACAGCAGGGGATCCCCAAATTAACCAGATTAACACCAGAATCCCAGTGCCTGCTCCAGGCCTCACCTCCCTGTCCCCAGGTGGCCTCTCTGGTGGACACCAACCAGCTCTTTGGCTTGAGCACTGCTGAGCCCGGCCAGTTCTTTGTCCACGTCCAATTCGATGGGATCCTGGGCTTGGGATACCCAAACCTGGCTGCTGATGGCATCACTCCTGTCTTTGATAACCTGGTGAACCAGAGCTTGCTGCAGGAGAACCTCTTCTCTGTCTACCTGTCCCGGTGAG